TTGTTAAAAATGATGAAAAATGATGAAAATATCTTGGTGCAAGATGTGTCAATCAACTTAGGAAATACTATTCTAAGTAACACATTGATACTTCATTTTACATTTTAAAACAGTATCTCTTGGCAATGACTTTCGTTTATTTCAAGAGAGCTGACTTCACACCAAGTGAGCATACCAGAATCAATTTCTTTGTGGCTCTGTAAGTACTTTAAAATTATCTGGTATTATTAGAATAAACTTTGCATTATTTCTTTATGACACTGATAATTACAATATGTGATGAGACTTCCTTGAGGAATATATAAACAACCTAATCCGGGGGGTGGCAGGAGGGCTGGAGCTCGGTGGTCTTTGAAGTCCCTTCCAACCCAACCCAAACCACTCTGTGGTTTTATGACAATCTACATTCTGTACATAAATAGTGCAAAGTCACTGTTCTGCCTGTGATGGAACAAGCTGGAGCAGCACACAGGGGTTGCTTGCATTGGTGTGGTGATACACACAGTGGCATTCTGCCTACCAAACTGAATCTGGGGGCTTTTTAAAGCATTACAGGAAATATATGCAGGACAATACACAGCAACATGTATGTGGCTCACAGGTGCTCATATAAAACCCTGTTTCAGATCTTTGCCAGCCTTTAAGGCATTTGTATAAAAACATTTCACCATGACGGGCATCTCAGGAGTAACTTGTTAATAAGGTTTCTGTCAACATGTTTTAAATCAAAAGTAAAGAGAATTTCTGAGAACTTTTTTGAACAGTTGTAAAATACCTATACTTTGAAACAGTGGTGGAATCAGTAATCCAGGCCCACATAACCCTCTGTATTTGCTGTACCTGCAGAGGGTTCTGCATTTTTTTTACAGTGTATGGTGCTCAGGTCATCTTTTCTGGTACCATCACTCCTCAGGTGCTCTGATTTACACACTAGTGCAGGGGCAAAGGGGACTGTTCCTTCTGCTGTCGCTGTTCTGTGGGTGACATCCACAGAGCATGGAGGAGGGAGCCCTCTGACCCCACTGAAGGGGGAAAAGCCAGGCCAGAGCAGTGAAAGGATTAGTGGGGGACAAAGAGTCTGGTGAGACTGGGACTAGAGAGAATACTGGGGTCAGGAGCAAGTGAGAAAACTGGGGAGGATACTATAAGTCCTAATTTTTCAAGTGTGATTTACAGGAGTTTAGTACCAGGTGGGTCAAGTAATCATTTTCCTGTTGTCTGAGAAGACAATCCAAACCTAAAAGTAACTAGATAGTGAACAAAGGGAAGAACAGAGACATTAAAAAAAAGTAATTTAAGTTTTTCATTTAAACTAAAGGTAGACCTGTATTTAGTTGTTTGCTCCTAATTTAAAATGAGCTACATAATTTTACAAGAATAGCTAAAATCCATAAAGTAGAAAGTGGGAAGTTTAAGATTTCACAGGAGAGTTTTATGCCTTATTTAAAGCATCAATCAGAAACTGTTCATTTTATTCAAGGGTTTCTTGCCAGCTTGGAGAAGAATGTCAGGATGTGTTAGTTCTTGCTTATCTATTAATTTAGGAAACTCTAGGGTAAAACCATTTTTATAAAAGCTTGGGGTTTTTTACCCAAAGGATGCATGTGTAACTAATCAAGAAAATACTGTATTCTAGAGAGAAGGCTGTATTTTGTTAGTGTTTTTTCCTCACAATACTAGAAAAAAGAACCACTGCAATATATCTGTTATTTTATGTTAGAAATCATTCTAATATAGTGGTTTAAGATTGAATAATATTTACAAACATAAACATATATATATTTGAAGGTATCTGGCAAACACAGTTGAAGAAGACAATGAAGAAGCAAAGTATGACATTTTCCCATGGGCTTTGGGCAAAGCCTGGAGAAAGCTCTTCCCTGATTTCTTAAAGTTAAGAGATCAACTTTGGAGTAGAATTGACTACAGGGCTATTGTAAGCAGACGCTGCTGTGAAGAGGTAGGGAGGGAGATTTCATATTCTAGATGCTGAAATCACAACAAGTAACACCAGCTAGCAATTTAGCTCTGTACAGTTCCTACCCTAGAGTAAACACACAATCCACGGAAAAGAAAAGATGCTGCTAAAATGTAATGGCCCATTTATCCTCCATGATATTTCTTCCTTCTCTATTTAAAACACATTATTTAAAAAGGTGTTTTTAAAGTAAACTAGAATATTTTATATTGCACGACTGTTAAAAGTGACATTTCTATTGACTAGTATTTACTTCATGCAAATATTTTTCATTTAAAATCTACTTTAATTTGTTTCACTTCATCCACTTTAGAAATAATTTTGTGTGCTTTACAATTTATAAGGAAAAAATATATTCCTCATTTTTCAGGTGAAGTGTGTACCTGGAAAAACCCTTGTCATGCTCTAAGTACCTAATGTTTACTTCTAGATGGTGGAAAAGAAAATCTCCCATTTACTCTAGAGACCCATTTCTGGGGATGGGATTAGATGCTATGGGAAAAGCACAAGGAGCAAGGCGAGTGCAGGATGCTTTTCCTTGCATACCCTCCCAGCTTCCCACTGCTGTTATTTCAGTGATGATGAACACTGTCAGCTGATGTTTGGTAGCTGGCCAGAGACCCTGTTGTGTCCAACATCCCGAGCATGAGCTGCTGTTTGTGATGGCTCACGTGAACAGACAGGGCTGGAAGCTGGGATGTTTCCACACCTGACTGGTGTCAGGATTACTTACCCCTGCAAACTTTCCAGTGGGACAGACAAGAGATGATGCCCATTTCAGCTACATTAATTCCCTGCCATGCACTAACTGGATCTAGTTTTCAGCCGTGTGTTTCCCCTTTATTTTTGCTCTTCCTGAGCACCTCTGGCTGTTCCCACAGGTGATGGCCATCGCTCCAACACATTACATCTGGCAGCGGGAGCGCTCCGTGCACCACAGCGGAGCTCTGAGGAGTTCCGGCGATCAGGTGCAGCTGCCCCGAGGGCCCAGCGCTACTCCGACAGACTGCCTGCTGTGCGGGAAGAAAGGCAGGTTCGTACGGCTCGGATTATCCTCCTCCTCCTCATCTACCGACACTCTGGAGATGAGGGACTTGCACTCATCCCAGAAATCCAAGGACACCTTTTCCACTGAAAAAATGCTCATCGACTCTCCTTCTTATAAAGGCCGAGGTATGGTTTCATATTGTGAGTAATTTTCCATCAGTTTAGGCAACTGGGGCCATATTTGCCCTTCAGAGTGCTGCAGGGACTGCTCTGTCCCTCCCTGTAACACCTCAGCATAACTTTTACCCTCACAGATTCATTTTCACACATTCTGTCTTAACTTCCTGGAAGTACCAACTGTTTCACATTGAGTCTCTTCATGTTACTTTCATCTACTACAGTAGAATTTGGGTGCTACTCAGGCATTTGTTACTATTCTTGCATTGTAAATTAAATTGGGAGTCCTGTTTTAAATGATTTTTTTATGATTGGCTATGTCAAATAAAAATACTGGTGTGTGTAAAGTGTGTTGAAGTGCACTTACTGAGAGTATGTTTTGAGAAAGAGCAAGATACTCATTTGTGATCTGGGTTTGGACACAGGTTAAATCACAATTTCCATTTTCCTCTTAAGTATCTAATTGGTTGACATTTTATACAAGACTGTTTTAATACTGGGGTATGAGTAGAAAACAAGAGTTTATTGCAACAATTGTTTACATAATTGAATCTCTGCCCATTAATCTACTCAAAATAGCATCCTCAGCATTAGGGGCCTCCATTACATACAGCAGTTGTGGGGCAAACCATTATTAAATTTATTATTGGAAGTTAAATGCATTTGACCTGTAAACTTCCTCAGGCACCTGGACAAGGCCTCAGCTCTGCAAAGATACTCTCCTGTAGTTAACCAGTGCAGAGTTCCTAGTATACTTACCTAATACAAAGGTAGTTATAAATAACTCTGAATATTTTATTTGCATGTGTTCTCATTAGTAAATGCATTTGACCTGTAAACTTCCTCAGGCACCTGGACAAGGCCTCAGCTCTGCAAAGATACTCTCCTGTAGTTAACCAGTGCAGAGTTCCTAGTATACTTACCTAATACAAATACAAAGGTATTTATAAATAATAATACAAAGGTAGTTATAAATAACTCTGTATATTTTATTTGCATGTGTTCTCATTAAGATCCAAATTTTCAGTATTACAGTAAGATTGTTACTGTTTTGACAGCTTTAGTACAAATGTGAATCCCAACTTTGAATAAATTGGCATTTGAATATTTCCTGAGATATAAAGCAAGTCAGGTGTTTACAAAACATAACTTAATAAGTTAATGTGCTAAACATCACCACTTACTCAGGGGAGATCCCAAATGATTTTAAGTCTGTTTATACTTGAGAGATCTGGCTTCTCATCTCTGACAAGGGCCAGAAAAAACTGTGTTTCCTCCAACCATTTGAGAATACTTTATATGAAGTGCCATTCACAAATAACCAGGCAACTTGCAGCCTGAGTGCTGGAAGGGAACCAGAGCTGTGCCTGTCAACAACTGTTTTGATGTTGAAATAAGCACAGCTTTATCAAGTGAACGCATTCAGTGAATTCCAGTATCTCTTAAAGTTATGCTTTAAGAACTTTGTTCTCAAAGAAACCTATAGTCAGCAGTTGGAAGCCAGCAAAGTATTAATTTCAAAGGAGAGCCTTTGATGCCTTATTTTCTTACTAAATTTTTTTTTCTCCTTATTTCTGTTAGACTGTCAGAGGCTGTCCAGCAAAAGGCAACCATGTAGCACTCTGGATCAAGATAAGTCTATGGACTGGTTTACAAGCAATGGAGAATGAAATGCACCTGATAAGACAGAAACATACTGTGATTTGCAGAACAGTCTGGGCTGCATCACAGCACCAGACATGATGATTTACTTCAAAATTTTCCCTTTACATAGTGGGATAACAGTTGGTGTTTCAAACTTGATGCGAGGTAGAAATCAGAGCGGTCAGTACTTGAAAGTTACACAACTTGCAAAATGTAGCATCTACTTTGTTATGTTTTATTTCATTCTGATACAATATTCAGATTAGCAGCTAAGGAGGCAGCAGCATCAAGAAAGCAGTGGTTGAAACTTTCTCAGCTTGGTAAGGAACGCTAATTAAAAAACAAAAGTTACTACTTTAGTATTTCAATACACAATGATTATTTTATTATTATAAGTTTAATAGTTTCATAATATAGGAAAATATCAAATGCTAGTACAAAAAAAAAAGTTTTTATTTGAAATAAAAATACCAGTAAACATTTAAGATAAACTTTTTCCAAGTGTCTCACCTGAATGAGCTTCCTGCCAGTGGGATGGTCGGGCAATGTAAGGTACTGAGTGGTTTGTTTCATCAGCATCACTGAGTGATTCTGTGAGAAGAGCATTTCTTTTTATTTTATAAATATTTTTTTTTTTGTTCCCACAAGTTTAAGACCTACATACAGCCTAGAGTAGACAATGTACATGTAATGTTTTTCCCTGACATGTTTTCTTTTTCTTGTTGTCACCTATCATATATTCAGAACTCTTGGCATTTTGCAGATCTATACTGTATATATATTTACACTTATCATATAAATATAAAATATGTATGGCAGCATTTTTGGATTTGCCAGAACAGCATAGTTTTAAAACAGAGCTCACTGGCCACTGTTTCTGTTAAGGAATCCTTAAGTCCATCAGGGTCCTCTAAAGCAGCTTTGGGGTGAGTATAAAGAACTGAATTTTCTTAAAAATCAAAAATTTGAAAACAGTCATTCTTTATTTCAGATTGAAATTTATTTTTTATTTAGCCCAGGTTTTTAGTAGAATATTTTAACTTAAATAAAAATGAATAGTATTCTTTAAACCTGACAAGGTCTAGGCTGTCTAAAACCTTGCCTATTCTCAGCTGACCTAGGTAAAAACACTGCCTCTTCCTACACTGGGTTATCAAAGTGCAGGAATAGGGGATCTCGTCAGCAGCAAAGTCCTTACCATTGTATTCACTCTCCTTAGGAACTGCTTGATCCTGAATATGGATTTCTTTGTACTCATTTTGAAGTGGTTCTTCAACATTTTCTTGAGTTTCCACCATTTGGCTTGATTTGTAGTGCTTGAGTTTAGCAGGGAGTACTGACCAGCTCCTGTGAGTTACCTCAATTATCCTTTCACACAAAAAAGGAAGCTTGCAGCTCCGTATTCTGTCTAAAAGGTCAATAACCTGTGTGATGCTTTTGAAGAAATGCAAAGGATAAAGTAGTATTTTGAAAACTCATATCACAAAATTTCAGTTCTACTGACTTAGGCACATTCTTTACCTTTGAAGTTACACGAATCCTTCAGTTTTAGGGAAAAGGAGCAACCTGACTATTGCACTGGAGAACAGTGCAGTTACTTTGAGGATGCCATAAATGCCAAACTTCACTGACCAGAATGAGAACATTCCCCAGGAAGATGCCAAAGGATTTGGCTGAGTGTAATTTATACAGAGTAGAACTCCCAAAGAAAGTTACATGGGGAAAAAACCCAACTTTGTTAACCATTTCATGAATGCTGCATGTGTATTTCAGAAGATGCTTGGTTTTGTACTGAGGCCAGGTAACGCCTGAATAAAGGTGGCAGACAGAAATACTCACTTTGCCAAGTACACAGCACACACCCCACCTTGCTTCAGGCTTGGGTGTACAACAGGCAGAGCACACTGAGGGTTCAGCATATCCAGAACTACCTGCAAGAGAAAGACATATTAATGCTTCCTGGGAGAACAAATGTACATCTACCAACGCAACACAGGACAATGCTGGGGGGAAAAAGGTTATGGAAAAGAGATGCACACAACAGCAGTGTGTAATCATCCACCAGTTTTATCACTGCCTCTCAAAACCTGAGGTGCACACTTACACAAAATGAAGTCCTCTCTACTTCCAGATGAATTTCTGTTAAAACAGCAAGTAGTATTTGACCAACTAAGTAGATCCGTAGGAAGTTAAGCCTCCTAGTAATTAAATCCCATAATCCCGACAATAAAAAAACTTTTAGAAGACTACATTTACTAACACATTTGAATACCTATTTCTCAAATGTGAAAAAAAAAAGAAAAAAAGATTGTTCAAATGCAGAAGAACACATTATGGTCACAATGTCTAACTTGCTGTGAGTTTCAAGATTAAAAATACTTCTTGTCTTTGGCAAGGCATCTTCTTGCACCATTTTAAAAATTGCTATTTGTTTAAAGCATTTAGTAAGCAGTTGTAAGTAGTTTGTCAGCTTTACAGGGAAGAGTGCTTAACATCACGCTATCTTCCCCAGCATGACTCGTTTTTTAGGAAATCTGGATACAAAGAAGCAGGACAGGAGAGCAAGCCATAGCATTCTCTAAATTATGGTTAGTTACATTGTGCATTCTATATAGCTGATAGCAAAGTGGTCATATAGTTGCATATTTAATAAGGTTTTGTATCCTTCTGAAATTGAATGCTTGAAATATGTATCTCCTAAAATATCAGTTCCTCAAAAATACAAGAAAGCAAGTTGGTATTTGCTTACATGACAGCAGTAATTAATTGTAATATTTCTATAGTACAGCTTTATCACTCTTTCATGTGACAACCTGTAACTGAAACCTTGAAAACATTTGTATCTGACAAAAACATTACAATGTTTCTTTCACTGATGAGGACCTGCATTGTTATTTCTCATGTTACACTAGATATGGGAATCCCGTTGTGAGTGTGAACACTAGAGGTTCTAATTAATGGAGAAAAGACACGTGTCAATGGGGGAGTTGTTTGGATTCACTCACTGCATCAAGTGTTACAGATTTCAGATCTGCAGCAGCTGTTGAAATGTCTTTAAGAATAAACTCCACGTTATCTGGCCACTCGTCCACGTGTCCTATTTCCCACGCAGAACGCCAGTGCCTGTAATTCTTCTTAGCTAAATTATGATGATCCTCTCTGATTTCATAACTTAGAACACGTCCTTTGTGCCCAACTGAAAGCAAACAGAAGACATTCCACTCACCACTTGACACTGCTGTTATAAAAACTTGGGGGAAAAAAAGAAAACAAAAGCAAAAACCATAATCTGTAACATAAGTACACCTTTCCATCTCCACTTAAGGAAATTATCACATCTGAAACAATCAATGACAATCTAGGTTTTCTTTACATTTAAAACATATGGATGAAGGAAAAGTGTCATGTTAGTTCTTTCACAGACAGAAATCCATCAATGCACAGATGAAACAAAGAGTAGTTATAGTAGTACAGACTGTTCCAAGATGTTTTCCTGAAGTCACTCATGCAGCAAAAGACAAGTTGAGCATCTGTGGCTGCTGCTAGATCCTTCTGCTGGAGCAACCAGAGGTACCAGCTGAGAATGCTGCACCAGTGCTCACAGGTTAAGGAAACCTGCTCACTGATCTCAGCCCCACAGAAAAGTTTTCCAGTGTACTCTTTGATTCACCCAGGTTTGTGTAATTTTCCTGTTACTGTTTGCAACAGCAATAAATTATTAAGTCTAAATTTACTATTCTGACATCTACCACGACTCCAATGTTTCTCACAAAGGAAGCATTTCCAGGCTGTGCAGGCAGACAGCAGGGTGTGCACTGCTGTATTATTCCATATTTCTATTACTCCAATTCCTCACACCTATCCCACTGCTCACTTCTCTCTCCTTGCTACTTTGGAAGGGGTGCAGGCAGCTTTCAGGAAGCAGCAGCTCCCCAGGTCAGTGCTGTGCCTTTCTAAGCCATTTCAGTTTCAAGTCACCAGGCTCATTCCCTCACCTACGTGATCCCACTGTGAATCCATTCAGATAACTGAGTAAAAGAAGGGATAGATTTCCCAACAGTTGCTCCTTGATCCAGCTCACCCTGCCTCAGACAAAGGCCAGAACCAGCTTGTAAGAAAGGGAAGGTTTCAGCATGTTGCCTTTGATCACCTGAAGCAGTTGTAGAGTCACAGTGCCAACTCCTGGTTCCTTTAGAGTATCAGTTTAAAAACATCAGGAAAATAAAATTCTTCACACTGGGGGGGGTCAGTTTTACCCCCACTTATTCAAAGTGATTCCTACTTTTTGAAACTGGTTTTTAAAAAATCAGAACAGCAAGACAAAATAGCTAGGCAAAACTTCATTACTGTGAAGCTACAGTATGTGAAGTTTGCTACATCATATTTTCCAGTTCTCAAAGATCTTAAAGTCATGGCAAATACCACTGTCTTAACTCTCCTGTTTTATGTCAGTAGTTTCTGGGATTAAAGAAAGAATGGAAAACAACATAAAAGGAATAACAATTAAGAGATGAATGAAATCTGTTAAATCAACAATAATTTTGGAAATGAAATAATTCCATGGACATTGGTAAGGTGCCCACTGGATCTGAATTCCAGCATTTACCCATGCAGCAGCTGCTTTCCTTGTTGGGTATCACTGGTGTGTATTCAATGGTGGCAAAAGCAGCCACCATTAGGAACCAGCATATCAAATCTATTTATTTCTGGGTCAGCACCAAAGTGTGTTCAGCTGTGACTAAAACTGGCTGTATTTGGTGCTGTTTAAATTCAATAAATTTGAAAACAGCAATGCAATTTCATATCTTTTCCCCACTCCTCAAAATAGAGCTGATCTGGCACACAACAATTGCACTCTTTCCCTGAACAGGGTTAACAGCCTGGTAATGTCAATGATTTTGCCAACTTGGCCCATTTACAGCTAAATTAAACTGATGAGAAAAAACCTGTTGGACAAGATAGAAAAACGAGAGGAATAATTGGCAAGTTCAGGTGTGCTTGTATGAAATGGCCACAGCAGGCTGAATACCCAAGAAAAATCATCTGCTGTATTTAGCAAGAGCTAGGTTTTGCCTTAGCCAGTATCAGGTATTTGGGTTCTGGGTCTGCCTGTAGGGCAAGCTGGGGAAAACTAAGGACTCCTACTTTCTCTAAATGGAAAGAGAAGTGCTGATGTTTCTGTTTCTTCTGTCTCATCAGCTTCCAGCTCCTACAGCAGCAATGTTTGCTTTGAGGATAATCTCATGCTAGCTTCAAAATCCCAAAGGAACTAAAAACCCCCAAACATTAGTTTATTCCAGAAAGATGACCAGAAGAAACCAGCTGCAGTTGAGTGATCTCGAGTCATGGCTGAAACTCAGCTTTCTGCAAGACCCTTGGTAACCATTTACACTATGCCCTATAAGCACAGTCAGAATGGTTTGCAGTCCTTGTGCTGATGTAACTTTCCCTCAAGTCAACAAACTATACATGAACTGCAGCAAAGCTTTCATGAGCTGAATAGTAAGGACCACAAGAACCATAAGTATTTGAGAAAAAAAAAAGCCCAAGTTGTGATAAGGAAATAAATAATGGCTGAAACTCAGCTTTCTGCAAGACCTTCAGTAACCATTTACACTATGCCCTCTAGAATGTCAGAATGGTTTGCAGTCCGTGTGCTGATGTAACTTTCTTTCAAGTCAACAAACTATACGTGAACTGCAGCAAAGCTCTCATGAGCTGAATAGTAAGAACCACAAGAACTATAAGTATGTGGGCAAAAAAACCCCCAAGTTGTGATAAGGAAATAAATAACTACTGTGTTGTCTAAAGCCAGGTTCTCACCTGCTCTCGACAGAAACAAGCTCATAGCACCAGACCCGCTGCCAGTTTCCAGCACGGTGTCTCCCGGGTGGATATCCATCATCATTAACAGAGCACTTATATCCTGCGGGCGACAAAAACACGGCACGTTACTATCCACGAGAAATCAGAGGTGAGATTCATCCAGCGAGCTCCCAGCCACCAGCCGCTACCTTGGGGTAGGCGATGGTGGCTCCCCGCGGCATGAGCAGCACGTACTCGTCCAGCGAGGGCCGCCGCAGCAGCAGCCGCTTCCCGGCCGCCGTGCGCAGCACCTGCCCGGGCATCCGCCCGATGATGTCGCGGTGGGGCAGGAGCCCGCCGGGGCTGCTCAGCACCGCCCCGGCCGCCAGCCGGCACAGCAGCTTCAGCGCCGAGTTGTGCTTCCTGCGCACCTCGGCCAGCGCCAGCTCCCCGGCGCGGAAAGAGCCGGGACGCGGAGCCGCCACTTCCTCCTCCTCCTCCTCCATCTTCTCCGGGGCAGCCTGAGGCGCCGCCGCGCACCGCGCCACCGCCGCCGCTTCCTCGGGCGGCAGCAGCCGCCTCACCCGCTCCAGCGGCGACAGCGAAGCCTGCCATGCCCGCCGGCGAGGCTTCCCGTCGGCAGGAAAAGAGGAGGAGGAGGAGGAAAAGGAGGAAGAGGGGGCGGCTGCCCGCCGCAGCGCGCGCCAGGCCCTCATGCGAGCGGCCCGCGTGCTCGCCCCGCGCGCCTGCGCCGCACGCCCCGATGACGCCGTACGGCGTCATCGGGGCGTGCGGCGCAGGCGCGCGGGGCGAGCACGCGGGGCGGCGGTGCATGCGCCGCTGCGGGGCGGGCCGGGCAGAAGGCGAGGGGAGCGCGCGCGCCATGGCGGCCCCTCCGTGCGCCTTCTCGCCCCGCGGGTGCCGCCTGTTCGCCTCGGCCGGGCCCGATGGGCGGCTGCGCGTGTGGGACACGGCCGGCAGCCGCCTGCAGCACGAGTACGTGCCCTCCGCCCACCTCAGCGCCGCCTGTACCTGCCTGGCCTGGGCCCCGGCGGCGGGTGCGCGGCAGCCCCCCAGCAAGGTGCGTGAGGGGAGCGAGCGGGGGGGAGGCTGAGGGCGGGCGGGGGCCGCGCGTGAGGAGCGCGGTGGGGATGGCGGCGAAGCCGAGCGGGTCTGACGCGTGGCCGCGGCCCGCTCGGCTTCACCCCGCCCTCCCGGCGCCATGTGGCCGGGCGGGCCGGGCAGCGGGGCCGCGGCGAGCGGGGCGAGGGTCCCGAGAGCCCCGCGGGGTTCGGGCAGCGTCCCGCCCCGCGTCCCCCCGCGGTCCCGGGGATGGCCACGTGTGTCTCCTCCTGGGTGGGGGGGCGCGGGGGGAGCCGCTCCCCCTCCCGGGATTGCGCTGCTCGAGGTGAATTTCACGTGTCGGTGGGGGGGGGGATTAGTTCTGTGGGTTTTTAAAGCAAAAATTCGGCAGAAGCGCTGACTGTTGGAAACCATTTGTCTCTCGTGTTATCTGCGTGGAAGAAGCCTTCCTTGATGGAGTGAGGTATGTTAATTGATGGCACGTCTTGCCGTAATGCTGCAGAGCAGGTCAGCTGCTGTGCACCCCCTTAGTTCCCTCTCCGCTAAAGGCAGGATCTCTCCACGCTTCCTTACCTTTGGAAGTACTCCCGTGCGAGCTGCTACACTCTCTGTGATTCATCTTCCTGAGTCCAGGAATCCTACAAGAAGGTGTTCAGTAGTTTTATTCACACCATGCATCAGGAGTGCTTGGATCCTCTCCACCTTGGATCAAGTTTTAGTTAGCATCACCTCAGGTGAACACTGAACCTGAAAATATCTGGAGTATGTACTGGGGTACCTTTTGGTCTGTTTTATGTTGAAGTAATTCTTTAGCTGGAATATACAATTTCCTGAGGAAAAAAGAATGCAAAACCTGCATAAAGTATGTGAAATCACCCCCATTATAATAAGTAAGGGGTGGTTTTTTCTAAAGTGTGTTTTAGTGTGTCAGCAATTCAACATTTGAAATGAACAGCATTCAGTATTTAAAATGCTGTTCAGGCTGTTTCAAAATGCTTAAAACACAGATTATCAACCCAGAGGAGGGCAATATTGTTTTACTCAGTTGAGCAGCTTAGTCCCTGAACTTTGAAAACTCCCAGGACATTTGAAGAATGAAGCGGAGAGAGTTAGTTTTATGTGGCCTGAACCTGTTCCTTTTTCATGGAACTTTCAAGTAAAAACGATCCATTCATTAGTTGCAAAGCTGTATAGGTTCATTGCTCTTAGGTGCCCTGAAACTGGCATATGAGAGTGCTGTTAAAATGTCCTGTATTAAGTGAAACTCAACTAGACACAGTGTGCTGCTGTGGTGCCATAAGTCAAGCACAGGATGTTTCTGAGGGGCTTTTAAAACTTTTTTTAAATAACCTTTTCTAGAGATACTCTCCTAAGCCCCACAGGTCTTTGAATTTAACCCGGTTTAAGGTTATATGAAAGCAACCTTAGCCACCTCTCAGTGCTTTCTGGCTATTCCAGTAGTTGGAATCCTGTCCCCTGCTCGAAAGCTAGTCCATTTTAAAGTGGACCTGGGAAACATACTGTTTCTTACAATAATTGTGCAATAAAACCTTTAAAAGTCATTGGGGTTTTTTTCCTTAGACTGAGTTTTAGAACTAAAACTGGGATAGTTATGCCAAAAACACTAGTTTCAGGTGGTCGGGGTAGAGCTCTGCCAGTAGATAGCTATAGATGGTGTTTGGCCAAATTGCACTTAAACTCAGTGTGTTTTGGACTGCTGCCATGTTAATGGAGGCCATGTGGTGCAGGGGAATATTAGAACTCACGTTCTGAACTGCAGCCTCTGGAATTGCTGATGCAGGGGTGGCTTTGCTGGGATGCTCCCTGCCCCACGTGCTTCCAGTGCTTCCTGTGTGCAGCATTCATCACCTCCTGCTCCGTGGGGTGTCTTGTGCAAGAGTGCACCTCCAGTATTCAAAACACCTTCTTTCACTTTCTTCCTGACAAGCTGCAACTGCTCTGTCATTGTCAAGTGTCAAGACCTTTAGATTTATCCCCATTTCAGTGTTCTAAGTGCTTTATTTCACATGTGAGCAGCAGATTTCTGTTTAGGAAGTCTCAGTGGCTTATCAAGTCAAGAAAGAACATTACTGAAAAATGTGTGCACAATTCCTTTACAAGTGACTTCTTTTAACCATCTCCACTAATTAAAACTTTGTGCTTTTTCAGGCAAAGTTGAAGGATTTCTAAATAAGCTTGAGTTTCCATAAATCTGAAAAAGAAATCAGAGTACAAGGAAGCTGATATTTGTCCTGCCCATAACAACAGGGTGCTCTTCTGTTTAAGACCCTGATCCACAAGTGACACCCACATGGATGTTAAGTGCAATTATCATTTGCTCTGTGTACTAATTTAATGCAGGGTGGGGAAGTTTGATTTTTTTTTAAAGTTCTTAATTTTTTTTTCAAATCATATCAAATGTTAACAGGTGTCTGAATTTTCCACTGGCATTTCTTCATGCAGAACTTTCTGACAAAGTGCTCCCCTCATATTGCTGATAAGGGGTGATCAGTAAAGAAATGCATGTGGAAAAAAAAACTGGAGAAACCTTCACTGCCCTTTTGCTTTCTCCTGACCCTGGAAATAACTCTGTACTTGTGGGAATTCTCTTGTGCCTTTGAGTTGTTCCAAGGAAATTTGCTATAGCCAACTGAAATGGAGGTTGAAAAAAAAATTAGTTGAAAGATTTATTCAGGGCAAGAGAATAATGTCTGTTATTAAGTTTGGTTTTGCTTTGCAGTAGGGGTGTGTGGGGTAATTGGTAGAACTACTTAAAAAGATCAAAAAGTACCAGAAAACACAGGAATTGTACTTGGATCTCTGCTCAGTGGCCTTTGTCTTTGCATGTCAGACTGCAGTTTCAATTAATTGTCATTAGTTTCTCAACATCTGTTTTTTAATATTTTATAAATACATTTCTTTAAGAAGATAAAGCCTAAATAAATACTTGCAAAACCCCCTAATTGTAATCTCTTTTCTCAATAGCCTGCTTTTGATGTAAAAGTTACCTTTGCAGCAATTTTGTATTTTTTGGCCTAAACCAAAACACTTTTCTTTGCAGAAGGTGTTAGCTCTGTTAAATACAGAAGGAATAGAAGATCCTGCTTCAAAGAACCAAAATATTTATTCTTCACTATCAAACTTCAATATCTTACTTGTGGTGGAAATTACTGCATCCTGATTGTCATATTTCTGGACCTGAGTAGAAATTATTTGTCTTCACTGTGTCATGTCTGTTGTAAAACAGATTAGCTACACCACATGGAACTCGAACAGAGCTGGTTGCTCACATTTTATCTCCTTGGGCTTCTTCAGGCTGCTTGTCAGTGAGGATAGCTCTGTTGTGTAGAGGAAGCATTACCATGTGTGAAATTTTTTAATTGGAGAGAATGCTTTGCTGTGATGTAACAAATATAAGGAGACTTACCAAGGTCCAATTAAAAAACTAATCATTAGTGATTTTTTTTTCTTTTCATGTCCTTGAACATTTTTTAAATTTTCTTTTTTTTATTTGTGTGTGTGCAATTAGTGATTACACAGTGAGAATGAATATGATGACTTCTTCTGCCCTCTTTATTTTAGTTTCACATTTTAAGAACCAGTTTTATTCCTTCTTTCCTTCCCAGTGATCTGCATTCTCAAATTTTTGGTTAAGACAGACAAAGTGAAATCCCTCCTTGAGGTGGCTGATAAGCACTTGCAGAGCAAGAGTGTGAAGAGTTATGAATTGCCTGATCATCTGAGGACCTCTGGTGCAGACAGCAGGACTTGGGCAGAGCACTTTGCTTTGAATCCCAGTCCTTCCCTCTGTGGAATGGGTTAGCACTTCATTTTTGAGAAGCATTATGAATGCTTCAGATTTGCAAGACTATTTTCATTACTTTTTGAGAAAAAATAAATTGATCATGACCAAGTTTTTCCATTTTATGGATGTAGTAGTCTGAACGAGTTAATCTTTACTTCTGCCTCTGGGACAGGAAATTTGTAAAAAACTAAAATGTGGGTTTTTTTCCCACGTGCATGTGGTTGGGGTGGTAGCAAAATGACCTATACCAGGTGTTTGCAAGTGACTCATAGAAGTTTGTTACCCTTTTTCGTGGAGTACAAGATGGGTTTCTAGGGTTGTGTACACTTCAGTGTTCATTTTCTGTCTTAGTGGTGTTTGTGCTGGCTGTCTGGATCTCAAACTTCTTAAGGTTTTTCTTCCCTCTGCTTTAACACTGAGATTAGCCACTCAGACTGATCTATTTCACAGTTTCTCTCTTTTGGTTTTCCAGGATGGCCCCCAGAGGAAAAAACGGAAGTCTGAAGTTGGAGAAGTGGACAAGCAGTTAGATATCCTGGCTATTGGTACAGCAGTTGGTAGCATTTTGTTGTACAGCACAGTAAAAGGAGAATTACAGAGCAAGCTAGTAAGTAATGCACTCTTCATCACATGCTACCAAACACTTCAGTCAGTTTAGGCCAAAAAATCTGGGTTTCTAAGTTAGTGCAGTATCTTAACACTGTCCATGGATTTGCTGCTTTCCATTAAAAATAACAGTAATGATGAAATTCCTCACAGGAGAGTTAAATCCTTGGTGGGGCTGTCATACCCTCGGTTCCTGCATGGCATTGTGGGAGGGAAGGGCAGAGAACTCATCAGCGCTTGGGAAGGTGTCAC